GTACATGATAAAACCATATAATATATATTTCCACTTTGACATAAATGTTAAATATATTTGGGAATAATGAAATTAAAATAAAATCATACATTGATATACTCGCTGATGTGGTTATTTAGTGACCAATAGTAATAATAATAATAGTAATAATAATAAAGTAATAATAGATTATAAATTAGTGAAAAAATTGGACTCCTTAAACTTGCCAATGAATCAAACGACCATGTACACCGAATCCTCTATATTATATCATTGACATATTTCAAATTTTGAGACATTTATTTTATGTCCATTTATTATTAATGAAAAAAATATTTGAATAGTAAAAAAGGGGCGAATTAAAAACTGTAGCACGAAGTTTGGTATGCGGTAAGTATTGAGAAGTGAAGTAGTAGTATTAATCAGCAGTAGTAGTATAGTAGTAGTAGTAACATATGTTATTTTAAACAGATTAAAAACGTCTAAATATTATGTACCCTATGATCGGATGATAGCGACATGCATAAACTTTATTTTTATCTTCAAGATGCAGTTAAACGCAACAACAACAAGAACAACAACACCTGCTTACGACACAAATGCATACAATATACGTTAATTTTATTTACCATAATTCATATAACCATAATTCGCTCCCAAGCTATATCGTGGCACACGCACACATATGCCACACAAGGTACACGTGTTACAAAGCGTAAGCATATTTGATGTAGGGTTGTTTCACTGTGCAGAAAAAAAATAATTGCTGACCTAGCTACGATTCAGCGCGTTGTGAATGATGAAGCTAGTTAATTAAGATTAGGATTTTTAAAGTTAGACTTACTGCAATCAATCAATCCACCAATCAACCAACCAGTCAATAAGTCCATTAATCACTCAATCAACTAGCCAAACTAAACATTTAATCATCAGTTAGAGAAATTTTGACTGTCAAATTTAAGTAATTGGCAATCAAAAGTCAATCGACCAATCATTTTTTAACTGACAAATAAAATTTGCACATGGTAGAACATAAAAATGGTGAACATCGGAAAATTATAAACAGTATGAACAACCAACCCAGAAAGAAGAAGAAAAAAGAAAGTGAAAGAGAGAGAGAGAGAGGAGGAGGTTCTTATTTAACAAGCGCATGATTGGCTGGATATTAAATTATTTGAACTTGTTCACGAATTTTTTGTTCGGATTGTATCAATTATATTCTGAACCGTGTGTACGTTTGAATATGTCCGTACGTGTGTAGGTTTGTGTATGCATGTGTGAGAATGTGTAGTTTATGTACACACACATACACCGATAGCGTGTAAGTTATTAAGAAATTGATCTTCAGATGTGAATATAACATGAAATTTAGATCAGATTCAACATGTAAATCTGTTGAACTCGTAAACTAGGATATGTCAACTAAGAGAATGATGTATGGCAGTATGAAATATGGCCACCAGATCACGCATCACTCTGGAAATAACAATAGTAATGTAGTGACAACAAGAAAAATAATAAAAATAATAACAACAACAATAATAATATTAATAATAATAATTATTGTTGTTATTATTCCTCTAGTAACGAGTCAATTATATTTATTAACATTTATCAACGTCTAGAGAAACAATAATGATATCAAAAAAGGGTAATGATGTTCTGCGTAGTAGACTAGATAAGATTTATACGTCTATCAAACGTCAAACACACACACACACACATCACACACACTCACTCACACACACACACACAGACAAACACACAGGCGTATATATCTATTTAAAGAAGGTATATGTATGTATCAATACGTGTCAATTGATTGCAATTAATCATAACTTAGTGTTTTTAAATTATTTCACTTTTATTATATTTTACACGGAATGTCTCTTAAGTAAGTATGATAAAAAAAAATAGCGTTCCCCGCCTACACATTATTATGAAATTATATCATAATATAAATAAATAATGTTGATAATAATAATAATAATGATGATGAAAATAATGATGTCGTAATGACGTCATGATGGTAAAGTATAACGAAATATGATAACGAAAAAAAAACAAACTATTCGTCACGTGCCCAACAATGTTTAAAAAGTAGAATATAGTGTATGTATGTATGTATGTACGTGTGTGTATGTATGTATGTATGTAATTCAAATGTACCTAAAAAAATACCTTAATGAATAAAATATATATGGTATATAAATGTTATGATTTTTCAAATACTAAGATGATGAAAATACTATGTTGATGTATGTAACAACTCGTGCATGACGGCATGAATGATTGAATGTACGAATGAATGATTGATAGACATACGAATGAATGAATGAATAAAATAAAAGAATAATAAAAGGTAGAGTATAAACGTTTAATGAATTAAGTGAACTGATTGATGTAGGAAAACGAATGAAAAGATAGAAGTTTATGAATAATCTACACTTTGAAGCAATGAAAGATTGGATCGAAGATTTGATAACGAATTGAAAAATTCAAAGAACGATTAAAAAATTACTAACAGAATAAAACTCGAAGAACGAATTAATGAACAGGGCCCATACTAATCTACATTTAATATTGATGAATAAATGAGTACATTTTAGAAACCCTAACTAAAATATTGAATTAAACAGTAAATAAAGATATCCATTGAACAGCAATGCAATTCAAAGGTTAACATTTCCAATAAACACACACAAACACAAACAAACCAGCATATACAAACATCAACATAATATACATTAGATGTAGGTAGACGCATGTGTTGTGTATGTTGTCTTATTTATGTATTATGATTTAGCTTAAGTTAAATGTACCACCACGAAATATAAGTGTATTGGAGAATAAGTATTACTATTAGTTAAAAATTTGTAAAAATCAAATGAAAAATAATTGTAAATTTGGATATTTTTTGTGTGACATGCTTGAAAGAATTGAAGGGCTCCCCATGATAGAAGAGAGGTTAACGAATCCTGTATTTGCGAAACTAGGTCCGAAAAATTCACAAAAAAGAGTTGGATGGAATATTCAGGAGTTCGTCCCAAATTTACTAAACTGAAAATCTTAAAATGCTGAAGTTACATCCAATAGAAATGCGAAATATAAATCTTGGATGGCAAGGAACGCAACTTCAACGAACAATTGGCGATAATTTAATTTTATGGAATTGAAAAGCTCGAACGTCTCATACATTTTTGTAATTAAGTAGGTGAGATCCAGTTGCACATCCTTTCGTATCTGCTTCACTCCGAACATCAGACGATCATCCCAATTAAATCTACATCCCAGGAGCAGCTTCCTGTATCTTTTCATCCAATTTTATCCCAGGAGCTTTTCATCCAATTTGGTCGGACTTTGTTTGAGACAGTGAAGAGATCAGACCACCTAAACCTTTCCAATCTTGCAAAGCGCAAGCATCTCATCAATTAATGAAATCACCCATGTGATGAAATCATCATCCGAACCACCAAACAGACGAGAATAGTGAAGTATCAAGGACTTTTGGTGAATGAACATCAACAGAGATGAATGAATGAGGCGATACACCCCCAGTAAGCAGGCAGCATGCACGCATCAGCACGTCACAATGCGCAAATATGAGTGTTCATTGAGAAATTAAATTTCACAATTGCGAACCAAATTAAGATAATAATCGTTTACATTTTTTAAAATATGAAATGAATTACAGAAGTTGTTACGAAAAGAGATAAAACCAATGACAATCGATCACGCTAAAAAATGAATAAGGCTCGATAATAACTAAACGAATTAATGAACAGATAAATAGATGATAATTATTAAGAATTGTAATAGATGAAATGTAGAAACATCTGACCATTCAACTTACTAAGGATTTGAAAACGAAACTCAAGTTTTATCAGATACAAAATTTTATCAAAATATGAAGCATGTGTCTATGTTTACATATGATGTCTATATATATATATATATATGTGTGTGTGTGTGTGTGTGTGTGTGCGTGTATATATATATATATATATATATATATATATATATATATATATATATATATATATATATTCATGGTTATTTAGAAGCTTATATATAAATAATACATGCAATGATATAACAGGCAGCATAAATGCAAGCAGACAAATAAGCATACATATAAACACGTTTCAAACTTTTTACTTAGGAAAAACATTCAACAGCAAATTGACACACAGACAAACAAAAACACACTCAGACACACACACACACACACACACACACAAGCACTTTTTATTATTTAAAAAAATAATGATAATAACGCAAGTTGAAACATTAAACAACACTGTTACTAACGGTAATTTGAAGTTTAAAATTCAAAACGATAAAAGAATATGAATGAAATTTTAATTAATTAATTAAAAAAAAAGAATTTTTTTCTGTTTTCATTAATTACATTCACTGCAACGACGTCAAATGTAAGAGTTTATATATATATATATATATCACAAAGATTCATGAATAAATTATGTTAATGGAACATAGATTATATATACACATATATATGTTTACATATGTATACATTACATAAACATGAATACACGCACAACAGTAGTTAGAATATGCATATGTATGACTTGAAGAAATAGCTCGAGAATGAGAAGCGACGCTCTTTACGACAGGAAAATTATTTTTTAGAAAAATTCCACAAAGTAAAATATATAAATATAATTAAATAACAATAATAATAATAATAACTATAATTATATTAAAACCATATTTATAACAAAAACAATGGCGTCATATAACAATGACGTCACATTTAAACCTATTAAAATAAAAAAAACATGACTGATAAAATGATTATAATAACAACAATAATAATAACCAATAATAATAAAAACAGATAATAAGTTGCCAAAATATTAATTAATTAATTAATTAATATTAAAAAAATATTTTGACAAATGCACACCACCAGCGCTCTAACACTGTGATTGCTGATATATATATATATATATATATAAAGGTAACTGACGCGTTTAAGTAAAAAAACTGAAAAAAATAAAAATTAATTAAATTAAAATAGTAATAATAATAATAATGACAAAAATATTGGTAATGATAAAATAATTATGATAAAATATTAATAACGAAATGTGTTATTTGCTCGTTTTAATATTTTTACTCAGCTGGTCTTCTCTGGCCAGATCTTGTCTAAGGTGGGTCACTTTCTCTGCATAAATTAACATAATTTGCATATTAACGAATGAATTGGTTAATTTTTTTAATTAACGGACAAATAAATAAATGAATAAACTAATGAAACAATCAGTAAACGAGTTAACACAAAACAAAAAGGAATGAAATTTATCTATTGTACATCAATTTAATTTTTTATAAATTGAGTGAGTGTTTATACAAAACTATAATAATTAATGAAACAAATAATTCATTGGTAAAATATATTTCTGCACCCTTCAAATCCTGTAATGCTTCTATCTTGGCATCTATCAGACTATCCAGCCTCTTGGCGTAGGCTGTTAAATGAATAAATAAATTAATTAATTAGTCAGTTAATTGATTGAAAATAATTACAATTTAATTATTGAATAATAGAAATTTAATAATTATAAAATTTAATATTGATGATTCACAGAATGGTCTAATCCAGCTATTGCTAACAAATCATGAAAAAAAAAATAAAAATAACGCTAAGAAGGGAACGAGACAGGACAAAAAAGAACAAAAAAGAACTAGAATACTTGATACCTTCCAGATCGTAATCAACCTCATCCGTCATCTTCAGTAGCTTCACATCCATATCCATCCAGACTTGCTCTTTCTAGAATTAATTAATTAATTGATTAATTGACTAATTAATTAGCTAACTAAACCGGCACTAAGCAGTATGTCTATCAAGAAAAAAAAATATAGTAAAAGTTATGATATAACTATTCTGGCGTCAATAATAGTGAATAATAAGTTATATGCAAGTTCCTCAATAATGAACGATGTATCTTCTAACACTGACAACATACTCTGCAACAACAGCAACAACAACCGCAACAACAGCAACAACTAAATCAACAACTGCAACAACAACAAAAACAGATCTGCGACAATATAAGCAACATCAGCCACGAAAGCAAACAATAAACCTGAAACAATTCCTTATGTTCATCCAGAACTGCCTCCTCAATTTCTTGCATGTTGTCGACAACCTCGTGAAACTCATACAACTCCTCCGACAGCTCCTCTTCCTGCAATGAATGATAAAAAATATAATTATTTATTCTTATCATCGAGCAAACAAAATAATGTCCCAGGTATTTTCACCCCTGCTGTGATGGGCAACTTTTGTCATCACTGGTAACCTACGTACACTACACGAACATACATCATCACAGTTGAATGGACAGCCAAATATGAAAGCAAATTAACATAAGAACATAAACAATTGAATACAAACAAACGAATAAATGAATAAATGAACAAACAAATGGACAAACACCCCTCAAATAAACAAACAGACAGACAAACAAACGAACGAACGAACACAAACAAACAAACAAACATTGGCATTTCTTAGCAGAGCCAAATCACTTTTCTGTGGAGACATTTCAGGGGAGGGTACATACTCCAACTTGTATCCATCCCCCACACCTCCAGCTGGTCCTAACTCCTTCACCCTATCATCATCATCATCATCAAATGTGTAGTGTATCTATCATCATTGTCATCAAGCGTTATTTGTATCTAGCTATCTATCAACATCATCAATAACAAAACAACCACCAATGAAGCAAAACGAAACGAAACGAAATTTTATTCAGTAACGAAAACTCCAAGAAAGATAAGGTCTCAGGGATGAACAAAGTAAAATTTATTGAATTCACCGAGTCTGGCCACCCACAATACAACAACAAAGCATACAACAGATAAGAACAAAAGACAACAGATAATAACCTGTCAGCATATCTGAGCGTGTTGAGCGTATGTTCACAGCAGCTCATACCAGGGGAAATCATGGCGATCTGAAAATCACATGTGTATATATGTGTGTGTTAGTGTGTGAGTATTTATATAGTTTGTGAACCATGCTTTGAAAACATCCATGCTTGTGCTGGAGCACATAAGTCTGGGTGCGAAAAACATATCTAATAACATTAAAATTTTACTCAATCCTACTTCTCCGACTCGCACTCACAATCAACGAGCAACAATTAGAACATGTACACACACACACACACACACCACACACAAAAGAAAAACTGACCATGCAAGTCTTGGAGTTCTCTCCAATGAAGGAATCTCTGAGGACCTGGGTCAGCTTGCTGGCTCTGAATGGAAGGTGCGTGCCTCGACGTCCCAGCGCTCGTATGCACTCCTGGCGGTCATCAAATCAAGTTTCATGACAACTATGTATGAAAAAGACCAAAAAGTAGATAAGAATTAACAAATGAAAATGAAACAAAGCAGGTTTGCTTGTTACAGATTAATATAAAAAGTAAAAGTGAACCAATGTTATGTTGCCTGCAATAACGCAAGACAATTCCAGCCATCCAATTATTGAATCAGTCAGTGAAAAATCATTCAATCAACCAAATATCCATATATCCAATCAACAAAGAATGAATTACTCAGCCAAACATCCAGATATCCAATCAACCAAACATTCAACCAATCGACTTTAATAAGTCCCTCATACAACAAAATACCTTAAGAGCCAGTAAGCTCTTATTGATTTCGGCACCCTCCAATCTCGTCTGCCTCTCGGAGTCCATCGTATCCACGCCTCGCTCGTTGCCTGCCAACAAAAATAAAACAACACCGAATTTGGATATTAGTTCACTATCGGCATTAACTTTATTCAAAAGCTTACAAAATTATGGTTAAAATTTGCTTTTGTTGCAAATATTATCGCCATGTCATAATTATCATCCTCATCATCATCATCATCATCATCATCATCACGTTGACTGCAAACATAAGAGACAAACAATGCCTACCTGCCAAATCAATGAGAGAAAATTTTCCGTACAATCTCTTGTTGGATCTTTTATTGGAATGGATGGATAGATGGATGAATGGATGAATGAATGAATGAATGAATGAATGAATGAATGAATGAATGAATGAATGAATAAATGAATAAATGAATGAATGAAAAAATGAACAGAAAAAAAAATGACGGGAAGAATGAATGAACAGGCAGACGAATGAACACAGCAGTATTTAAAAAAAATCTTGAATAGAAGAGTGATTAGATAAATAGGTTAGATAATGACAAAAACATTATCCACATAAATGAATATAAACTGTAAAATACAATAAAACAATGATGGAACAAGTCACACACACACACACACACACACACACACGCACATAATTATATATATATATACATCATCATTACGATCCTCATATCGATCATTATCTTCATCACCATTCTCAACATCATCATAATGATTACATAACGAACCACCACCAGCAGGACCTACCTTCGTCGTAATATGATCTGGAAGACTGCATGAGACCGGGATGAATGGTTGTTGGCAGATGTCTGCCCCGATGTTCGAACTGCATTGCCATGTTGTATCAGCCTCATCACATCCTCTACCTAGTGGTTTCATTAGTAACATGCTGATAATGAACATAATGAACATAATGATCATGATGATGAGGAGGACCATGATGATAATGATGGACTGACCCGGTTCATCTCTTCTTCCTTCAATCCAACAATCTGAACTTGTTGCTTGCCATCTTCAAGTACACGCAACTTATGCTTCTGATTCAACAGATCAAACACCTGATGACGTGGCAATGTTAATGACGATGACGACGTTGATGATGACATAGCCCGGATTGATGTATCCGATTAAAGCGAATATTGTTGTGATGAAGAACCGAACAGAATGTGATGAAAACAAGTAGTATCGATAACATTGCTAACGATTTAACGCTCTATACATATACAACATGCTAGCCAAAAGACAAGGTGATATATGATGAAATGATGATATTGGTGATGTGGGTAGTGATGATGTTGGTAGCGATTGTTAGAGTAATAAAGACAATAGAAAGACAATACCTTTCCACTGTATATCTCGAAAAAACTGGCGCTGACAACCAGGTCCAACTCCTTATACTTGCTGTGCAGTAATTTGAAGACATCACTTGCTGAAAGGATGATGATGACAACGAAGAAGATGATGATGTGGATGGTATGATGATGACAAAAAAATCAAGATAATGATGATAAAATCTAAGATTATAAGGATAAATATATTGATATTGAAAGCGATGACAGTACAACCACGATGAATGATGAATCCATCATAAACTCAGTTCTTAACAGATACAAAAATATGATGACGCTGACAATAGAGCACCGACTCACATAAACTCACTCGTGTTTTTGAAACGTTGAAAAAGCGTTAAAGACAATCACAAAAGAGAAGGAGAGAATAACGTTGTGAGTGAAAAAATGATTAGAAGCGAGTTGAAAATGATTCTGAAAGTGACAAAAACGATGATGGCTCGTCGCAACAAACCAGCCAGCACATAGATTCCTTTGCTGCAATCTTGTTTTCCCTTGCCACCTGAAAAATCGCCCCCCATAGTCTGAATGAAAGAAAGGTTAAGGTCAAGTATATTTACGATCATTATCATCATCTGAGTCATCAAAACATAACAGCAGTTATGGTTAGTTATTGACGGTGTTAGCTTTTTCGCAATAAACTACTTGTAATTTCATTAAACATCAACTGTGTCATCATCATCTGTACTGTTATTATCATCATAATCCATGCAATCGTCATCGTCATCTTCACGATCATCTTCATCATCATCATCGTAATGATCACTCACATGAGTCTTCCCACTGCCCGTCTGTCCATAAGCAAAGCAGGTAGCCATACCGCCAGAGAAGGCACACTCAACTAGTGGTTTTGCTGTGTACCTGTGTGTGCGTGTTAGAGTATTGTCTGTGTGTGTGTGTGTGTGTGTGTGGTGTGTGTGTGTGTGTGTGCAACTAAACAAAAAAAAGCTGCGTAGAACAAAATAAAATAAACCTATCAATTGCTGATCAATCAACCAACCGCTAATCAATCAACCAACCGCTAATCAATCAACCAACCGCTAATCAATCAATCAATCAATCAATCAATCAATCAATCAATCAATCAATCAATCAATCAATCAATCAATCAATCAATCAATCAATCAATCAATCAATCAACCAACCAACCTATAAACGATTTCATTGCTACTCGTTTCATCGAAAGAGTAATCAAATCTGAAGTTCTGATTCTCGACGTATTTTGTGAGGTCAACTTTTGTTTTTGGCTCGTGAACAATGACTGAATTTTTGTTTGGAACTGTTATAACATCAACCTCTCTGCGATCAAGTTCTGAGGTGTTTGAGGTTTATTACAATGTCAAGATGCTACAGGCACGTATGCCAAATAGAATGAATTTTATAAACTAAACTTTCGAACCTTTTTTATTGAGTGGCCTCTTTCTCAGACAGACGCAGATCTGGTGGCACTCAATGGGCTCGTTGCTTGTGATCGGTCGAAATTCCAACGTTTTGCGAAAATCTCTGCATTTGGAGGATAATTTTCTTTGTAAGAATTTTACTCGCTCGGAGCACATGTGCCACTTAGAGACAAAATAAAACAGGATAAAGTGATAAGTTCACGAGCGGAATGGAGACAACACCAATTAACAATGTTTAAATGAAAAATTAAAACACAGACAAGTAAATGATATTATATAAACGAATGTGCAGTAGGTAATATATACAGCATATCAGCGTTCAGATCCAGCCATGCACATAATCAACTGAAAATAACATATCCCGATATTGCAAACTGTTAAAAAGTTAATGAAGATGATGATGAAAATTATGATAAAGATGACGATGATGATGAAGATGATGACGTGGATAAAAAATAATGAAAAGATTCAGAAGAAGAAAGATTTCCGTGCCTACCTAATCATAGATTCAAACTCCCATGATGGTACGTTGGTGTCGAAGTCGGCTTCATTTTGTTCTTTTATCGCCATCTGCTGAGCCCTTCTTTCATTCCTTCTCTGTTTTATCTTTTCTACCTCCTTCACACAGTTTGACTTGCGACGATCTGTCAATCACAATTTCACAAATTTATCGAAAATTCTATTAAAGTAAAAAACTTTGGACAACCAATGTTCTATCTTGTTGCCAAACGAAATAAAAAAAAATTAAAATATCCAATCTTAAAAAAGGTACACCAATATCTAAATTAATTTGCATATGCACTGTACTTACAACAAACAAACAAACAATGAACCAGCAATTGCACATCATGCAGACAGACACACTCAAATGAACTAACAATTATTTTTTTTGTTGTCGTCTTGTTGTGCGTATGTATCCATTGTGTTGTTGTTGTTATCATATGGAGGTGAGTTGTTGTCGCAGCTGTTGTTGTTGTTGTTGGCTGATGTAGATGTTGTCGTTGTTGTTGCAGGAATCAAAATTGATGTGGGCTCTCCTCTCTCTTTTTCACTAATCGCTGGAATTTTGCTTGGTCGAGAAATGTGGTTGCTGGTGGCTGGTGCTGCTAAAAAATCATTTTTCATTCATTCATTCACCCATTCATTCACTCTCTAAATGTGTATATGCACCAAAAAAGTACATCATACAGTAGAACAGGTAATTTTTACGTTAACTCTAATCTCAATGGAACAGGTAATGTAAATGTTTTAAACCATGATTGATTTTGTTTAAGTCATGCACTCCAAATCGAAAACAACAACAACAACAACAACATGAGAAATGAAATAATATAAATCACAAATGTAAGTAATTGAAGTACAATGATAAGATACAGCTGATATAATTAGATACAACTGATACGATTAGATACAACTGATACGATTAGATACAATTGATATGAGAAGATACAATCAATGCAGTAATACAAATGATAAAGATAAAATACAATCATTAATTGAAATGATGAAATGAATCTCAGACCAGCACTTGTTTGAGGCCCTGCATGAAAGAAAATGAAATTTATAATAAAAATTAATAATACCCAAAACATAATATTTAATATTCCAATAATAAACTTTCTAGAAAAAACAGATAAGGTGAATATTATTTTAATAGACAGATGGTGCTAACTCTTAGAACCTTTGACAGTCTCTTTAGAACCGGGCTTCAAACTTTCGGCTCCGTTTGTCAACTTGGCCTGCCAGTGATCATTAATCATCCATCATTTCAAAAAAAAATTCATTATTTGATTAATTAATTAATTAATTATATTATAATTTAATTGAATAATGTTGAATGGACAGAGAAAGCCGTAGACAGACCTGAGGTTGCTGTTGACTTGGTATGAATAACTCAGAGTTCAAACTTTTTACATCATCTATGTCGATCTGATGACGAAAATTTAGGAACAATTCATTAAATCAGCTTACCAACTGAACTTCATTTTTTATTTATAATTCACACTGTCCATAATTTATTGTATCTAATTTAAAATGTTGAGATAAAATTGGTGGCTAGCTTCTGGAAATTAATTTTGTTTCATCAATGTTATTTAATCTGTCATTGTTCTAATAATCATAAATATCTTTCTGGCTATCTAAAATACTTGAACTAGGCATTATTTAATTAAATTGTTCAAAACGTTCCTAACCTATGAAACTTTCAATGACCCTAATAAAAAGCAATAAAAACTTATCAAAAATTTTTTAAAATAAAAAACATGAAAAAAATATTTAATCTAACTCTGCTGTTAGACCCAGTCAAATTTAACTCTCATCAAGTAGATGTTAAAACATTAATTCAGGTAATGATTAGAATATAAAATTAAACAAATCTCAACAATGGCAACGACAAAAATGAACCAAATAATTAACTAACCTCTTTTCCCTTGGTCTCATTTTTCTCATACCATTCAACTGTAACTGTCTGGTTATCAAAATCCACTGCACTAATTGTTGCTGGGTGGATCCTTCCTGAGAATTTTGTTATAATTTGTATCAGCTACAAGCAACTTATTTGAAACAAAACTACTAAAAATATTATAAATAATTCAGTCTCAGTGGTACACCAATTTGGATCTTTTAATTAGTGCAACTTTTCAAATTGGGCAACCATTTAGATTAGATAATAACATTTCGTAAGCACATTTCATCCTGTTAATATATTTACTTTACAAAAATTACAATCCATTTAAAAATCTCCAAATGATTACATGTTTACTAAAACGTTTCCTTAGCAACCATCAAAATTGGCAGGTAATTCCTTAATGGAAAGATGAGTTTGAAAGGAAATCTCTGTACATACGCCTAATTACATACTAGTTACACACAAGCAAGTTTGAGGGAGTGCTGAGCTTTTTGGAACTCTTGAATCTCTATTCATCTTACTCTCAGTCAGTCAGTGTAGTGTTTACAATACATTCTAGTACATTCCTAACTCTACTACTAAGCACAAATGTTGGCTCAATCATGATTGATTCAATCAAAATTTGATAAACTAAAAGCGCTGAAATCCAAAAGGACGAACTAATGAGAAAGAATTGGAATTAAAATTTACTAAGGCAAGAAGAAGAGAGGTCATGGCATGTCTCTCAAGTAAACACAAACATAACTGAGAACTTGAGTAATTTTAATTAAAATTAGCAACAACAACAACTAGGAAAAATTAAGTAACCATCAGTTCTCTGAATGTCTATGGTGACACCGGGTTTCAAATTCGCGAAACTCATTTTAATTTAATTATCTATTTATTCACTTCGGTGAGCAGGCAGCAGAAAAAGCTAAATGTCCAATTTTAAAAAATTTTTGCCGAATTTGCATTTTGTTCAAAACAGCACTAAAAACCCTAAATAAGCAAGGTAAGTACATAATTTATGAAATTAGTAATCGCGCTGTTTACAAGTTGCGGGATTACTGTAAAAAATTGAAATAAAAAAATAACTTGATAGATGACTAACAAAAGTTTTTGTTATTTTATTTTTTACAATTTGCCAATCACGGAGCCTACATACAGCATTCAAGTACCCAGTGGTCGTCTGTAATACGCTTTACAAGGATGTGTGATCGAAAGGGTCTGAATCTAAATCGTTTCAAATGTTATTTTATTTGAAAGAGTTTTACACATTAATTTAGATTTTAGTCTGGATTTTTAAAAAATTTTGATTTACAAATTTAAATGTCACACATGATTTTTCCCTACACTGACAAAGAAAATTGGCTGCAGGAACATATTTGGCATAACCATGGACACAACAGTGCTTTGAAAACTGTATCAACTAAATTTCTCTTTATTGAACTTAAATTTTTCAAAAGTCAAAAATCAACAACATTAAGTCGAGCATCCGACATCAAGTGATCCAGTGAGTCAGTAAGGATAACATCACTAATGTACAATTGCCAGATGTTTTAGACTGTCGTTCATTCATTTTTAAAAATTTGTACGAAATTATTTTTGTACTTGATTTTTTTTAATAATCTATATCCAATGAACAATCTAAGCCTTTAAACGCAGATGCATCTTTCTGCACTCAAATCTTATTGAAAATTGCTCATCGACCCCTAATTTAACCAAAAATTGTTGCCAAAGACAAACATTTGTTGTCGATCTCGATTAAGTATTGCCCAAATAAGCGCCTAAATACTTCAAAGTAACGTAATGAGGCAAGACATTGATTAGCCATTGCTATTTTCGTTAAATTTAGTAGGTATTACACAAAATAGTTATGTTATGACGATGTTGTCAAGTGTAACAACGAACGACTAACAAGCGAAACGTGGATTTAAACACATCAGCAACCGAAACTCAGTTAATCCACAACTTGCATGTATTATCGTGCGGACATGCCATTCATCTTCATAAGGTAACTTCCAGTTGTTCGAAGAATTTGTTCTCAAAGATTTTTTAGACTTTCTATTCCGGAAAAAATATTAAGAAATCAAACGATTTTAGAATTGGACAGGCTTTATCAAGACAAAATCTTTACATCCTGTGACCGCATACCTTCTCGACTGACCATTCAACACGCACGATTTAAAAATCTGTCACCATTACCGACAGTTTGATTTGTCATTCTCGTTGAAAATTTTTGAGGGGCTATTTCCAAGGATATTTACTACGTAAAAAATTAATTTGCTAATTTTTGCCTAGTTATAAAATGAAAGATATGTAATAGATTTGGATGTAACTGGCTTGCTAAAGATTTTGTAAAAATTAAACCGATTGTAATATAAATATTTTATTCAAATCACAATACAAATCATTTAAAATAAAATAACGTTCCGTATTTGAATAAGAACGCAACATATTTTCTATTTTAAATGATACAAACGGAGTGAAGAGTATTAAACCATAAATAAATTTGATTTAAAAAAATCACATGTAGGTCTAACAGACTATACAACCAACGACATAACGTTCACCATACATAACTTTTTTTCATCGTATATGCAACAACTCAGCAACATATCATCAGATAATGGATACCTCTGTACTCAAACCATAGCATGAAAACTTTCAAAATTATAACACCATCCGTGATAGTGGTACAGGAAAATCAGTATTTTTGAATTTAAATCATAGAAACAAGTATTTTATATTATTATGAATTATATAGATCCGAGAATAGAGTAGATATGCAAAAATGAGAATTTACATATAAATATATTTCAACCAAATCATGACTGATAAACGCATATTCAAAATAGATCAGCAGACACATCACATATGAGTTTCTACAATTCAATGAAGATAGTCAACTATTGTGAACATTTTTTCATAGGTTCTATACAATATAAATCCACACAAGGCAACATATTTAATTTCTGCGACAGTTAGTAACATTCACTAGTCATTCATCAATTACAATAATAATACACATAATAATAATATAAATAATAATGTGATAACAAAATAATAACAAAAAAGTAATCATTTATTCCTGATCAGAGCAAGCACCATCATCATCATCCTGATCAGTTTGGTGGCCGCCAATGTTAAAGTTGTCGCTTCTGTTTTTGTGATTATTTCCATATGCATTCAAGTTATCATTTGAACCTGTAAATAGTTGAAAATTGTGAAAATTAAAAATGGAGTTTAAAGAAAATAAACAAAAAAAAAAGTAAAATTAAATATGAACAATAAGGTTACCTTCATGTTCACCATTTCGAGGTGATTCTTCATTATTATCATTGCCATGGAGATCATTATTTTTCAAGCTATTGCTAACATTCTGCTCCACACTCCTATCACGAGAAGTCTTCTTATCATTTTTGAGACCTCCCTCAACATTAATCAAGCTAGGAGTAGCTGCAGCATCATGCGGCTCACCTCGTTTCTTCTTCCTCTCCATGGATGCACTTCGATCTGAATGGGAACTTCTACTGCCACTATTGCTCCTCGATGATGAATGCCTGTGCTGGCTCTTCGAATGACTGGCGAAGAAATTTAAATTTATTAGTTTATCAATAAAAATTTATTATTTAAACTATAAAAGGAATTCTAAAAATAAACTTTGAAAAAATTCTTAAATAACTGAACTCACCTCCTCTTTTTACCCCTCTTGTTGGCTTCAAACAACCTGATCCTCCTTCCATTGAGATCCATGTTGTCAAATTTTGACATTGCCCTCTCCATCTCCCTTCTCGATGCAAACTCTACAAGACTGTATTTATAAGCACAGTAAGTTATTATTAATGAAAGTATATCATACAATTGATTTATAATTATTATACAGCATTACCAAAACATACAATGTTGTCAAATTCAATTAGAAACGTGAGCAGAGAAAAAATGAACCAACTTACCCTTCATTCCTCCTATCTCGATGAGCATCGGCAAATGTCACCTCACCTGCACCTCTCATCAAATCTTTCAAATCCTGCATCAGACATAAAATAATTTAAAAAAATTATTATAATTAAAAATTATTTAAACTTAAAAAAAGAGATTAAAAAATAAATAAAAATGATACTAATAAAAATGTAAAGATAACACATCAACTACTCTTCATTGTGCTCATGGTGATAGAGTAGTACCTCAAATCAAGTTTAGTGTTAGCAGGCAGTTGTTTTTTCAGAAATTGTTAAACACTTTTTGGTTGTTTTGCTGGATGGTTGGTTTTTGATTGAGCACTTGATTGATTTGAGGTTGTTAATTGATTGATTGATCACTTGGATGGCATAGATTGATTGCTTTTTTATTTTTTTTGTCGCTTTGCCAGAATTGACTCCACTAAGTCAGAAATAACAATAAATTTCACTTTTAATAAAGTACTCCAATGGAAAAAAAATAATTCCAAAAATGTTTTTTGGAATAACACAAACCTGCCAGCTTATTCTGGTACTCAAATTTTCAACAATTAATCTATATTCTCCTCTACGCCTTGGCCTGTGAATAGAATAAAAATATATAAAGTAATTTATTTAAAAACTGATTTAAACGACACACAGATATTTTTATAATACAATACCTTATGATGCAAAACACATAAATTTTAATATCTAGCACGTCATTTATAAATTATACAGAAAAATGCCTACCTATCAAATTCTCTCCTTGATCTCTGTGGATAATCAATACCTCTTTCAATATCTTTTCTCAAATCTTCTCCATGTGGGACTCCCCTTGCATGTTCGACAACAACTCTGAAATATCAAACCATTTTAAATTGAAAATATAATGAATTAACTCAAGATGATAAAATTAATTAACTAAATCGCCTATTTGTTATTATGATCACATAATTATTTATAATTTCTTGACATTCATTTGTTAATTAAATTAATTATTAAATTATTTAATCCTACAGCCTGTGAAAGTGAGAAAAATCGGCATATAAAAAATTTGAAAAATAAAATATTATAGAAACGTACTTTTCTCCGCAGAGAACTCGGCCATTTCGCTCATAGACAGCATCATCCGCATCTCTGTAGTTATCAAACTCCACGAAGCAGTAACCGGTTTTAAGCATGATATCGCGAATTCTTCCGAATCCCTTGAAGAATCGCTCAATGTCCTTCTCGTGAGTCCGATAAGGAATTCTTCCGATATAGACGCGGGCAGCACACATGGTGACAAATAGAAGTGATACACGGGATTACGACAAACCGATTTAAAACTAAAATTTACTATTCGATCTGATCCGTCGTCACTCGCCTCTCTATATATAATGGACGACACAAGAAACCAAAGAAATAAATGTTCCTGGTAACCACGATTTTACAATCATGTGGCTTTAATCTTTAAATACGGCATTGAAATATTAAAGGTTGTAAACTTTTACAACCAAAGATGTTGTAATATCATTCATTGGCATAATTCTACGCATTTTACGTACTCTATAGTTCATAGATCTTTAACGTAATTTTTTAGCGAAATTAAATTATGAAGACTCTAAATACACGCAAGCCACTTATGGACAAACAGACACATGCAAACTCTTACGCATATTTTTCCTGCTTATCAGCATCACTACGGTTGTTAATATGCTGAAGTTATCAGCTCAAGTGACGACATCAAGCCAGTTTTACAAAAAATGTTTTCATTGCCTTAATCAAATTTGGCAATCAATCCGCAAAAGCCAGACCGTGACTCTTGGCCAAATTTAAATTAGGCTGGCATTTATTCGAATCCATAAAGGGATAAGACAGGAACTGTTGCGAAAAGTTAACACTTATATTAATAAATTTTGACGCTCTTTAAGTACATTGTTTGTCAGCAATCTAACCGATAAAATATACCTATAAAAAGATTTAGAAATCCGATGAGAAAACCGAACGACTTTTCATGTAAATATTTTAATGTAAAATTAAAATTTAAAACCTTTTTATAACATAAAAATGTATAAGAGAAAATATTGAAATAATTGGTTAACTTATTACAGTATAAAGTTCAAAGATAATAACATTAACTATAGTCAATAACATGATTATTAATGGTTAAAACTAAATTATACAAAAAATTTAAGCGTAAAAATCTGAAACCTGACGCTTTTACATTCATTTAAAAATGTATAAACTGCAAGCATTCACACTATGATTTAAACGAAGTTAGCCGTAATTTTGTGGTAGCCCGTTCAGTCATGTTGCAAAGTTTAGTTCAAATGGTCGATTTAAATGCATGCATTTCGTAGCAGAAGTATAAATTTGCTACAATTTACATTTACTAATAATACTAGATGAACATCCAACATAAAAATTAACGTTTAAAAATATATGTTGATAAATAAAATGCAGATAAAATTCATATTAATTTATTTAGTTAAAAATGTTAATGATGATCGTTAACTTTGAATTATTTTGAAAGTATGATGTCTTTCGTTTATCATTTCAACGCATCACGGCTTAAAAAGTTTCGTTAACGAGGTGGCGTGCGTTGGTGAACAAACTTACAAAAGCACGTCATAAAATTCCCCGTATAATTAAGAGTGGATTTAAAGCAAACAGCAATTCAAATAGAGATAAAAGTAAAAACTACAACCGCCTATTACTTATCGAATATGATCTTGCCACAGTCCAGAACTTACAAATCATGGACACATACGTGCTATACACAGGCAGACATACAATCAGACACATACATATATAGCCAAATACACTGAAAAAAAGAAGGATGGACACACAGTAACACATATTCAACAATGTTATTTAAACCAGCATCCCAAAATTTTTCCCTTATTACCATTACTAACGTCAGTGAACAACAACGATCAAATCAAGAACATCAACTGTGCATCGGCGACAGATCAGCTCCACAAACACTTATCATCAAGTTATGCCATGCCACACGTCCTTCCATTTGGATTTTTAACAATATTTCCTCCAAAGAACGACGGAAGCTGAAAATGTGATGACCATTAAAAAAAAGAACCTAGTTTGACCTGAAACAAAATATGAAATGACAGCATTGGCAGGACAAAAGTACTGGCTAGCAATGATGTTGAATAAAGGAGATGTTATTTGACGGGAGAGTACATACGTGCAAGTAGACGAGAGCATGAGTGAAGTTCGTTAGAAATTTCAAAATTAACCCAGAATTTCCTTCGAATATTCAATCTATGAAATGACATCAACAACATTGTGATTAATGTAACCAAAAAACATGCAACAACGACGCTTATTTCATTTGTCAAAGCCTAACAATTTAATTTTTTAATTAAATCGGGATGAATAAGTGGTTGCATAGAAATGGATGATTTGATGTTCAAAGTCATTCTAAAATTATTAAAGTCCAAGCTAAAAAATAGAGGTGATAAATGTCAATGATTAAAACTGTATCCGATCTGATATTAAATTATATATACATCCGTATATAAATATCATCAATAATTGCAATTTACTGCCATATTATATAAGACAAAGGTTATAAATTTTTTCGGGAGATAGGAGCAGTATAATGACATAGAAGATTATACATTAGTTTAATTTTTCCATATAAATAAATATATATATATATATATATATATATATATATATATATATATATATATATAATATATCGATAGTGCATAAATAAAAATATATGTTGGAAGGATACCATATTTTATTTTATACGCTATTGTATGAACTTTACCGAATTGTTTGCATTAATCAATTTAAAGTTTAAATTTTAAGTTTTGATACAATACTATATATATATATATATATATATATATATATATATACATATATGTATATACACATAAACAACGCAGACATACATATATTAATACCCAACAGTAGGAGGAAAAGATGGGATAAATGAAACGGAAGGAAGGAATGTGTTGTTGTTGTTGCTGTTAAATAAAAAAAAAACAGATCTATCTGAATGTAATGTCTGATGCAAATGCAAATAAGCATAAACGTTGCTCCCACGACTGTACTGGATTAACCAACCACTCCTGTTAGCCAAAATCAACCATATAAATAAATAAATAAATAAATAAATAAATAAATAAATAAATAAATAAAAAACGAACAAATAAATAAATAAAAGATAAATAAATATAAGTTTTTAAGCTCTTTTGCTGATACAAGCCAAAGAGTTCAAATCCAATTCAATAACGATAATGTCTACATACATACATATAAACACATCCGCATATATATATATATATATATATATATATATATATATATATATATATATATGCTCTCAAACATAAACATACTTTAGAATGACTTTTTCAAGGAAAAGAAAAACAACGTGATAAAACAAGACAGCGTATAATTAACATCTACAATATACGGAAGAGTGAATAACCAACAAAAATAAAAATAATAATAGTTAAGAAATGCAACAAAATTTGACCCATCATATATTTTAATGAGGAGGTTGTTTTGGTTTTTATTTTGATTCTTCTTCGATTGGCTACGTTTATGTTAGTCTTAATTTATTTAAAAATATATCAAAATGAAAACGTCTTCATTATCATCCTGTTTATGCTATACATTTCAGTACGTTTTGGTTAGTTTGATCAAAAAGTGTATATAAATAGGCAGAAAATAAACATTTATAAACAATAGATAAATATATATAGATGGTTGTTTTTTTTAGAGAACATATAAAATTTCTGGCAGAGAATCATGAAAAATCGTGACGTGCTAAATGTAATAATAATAATATTAATTATTATTATTAAAAATACTAATAATAAATAATAAAAATTATTATAACAGAAAAATAATCAAAACAATGTTAATGATGACCACCCCCGACAAAATTTCAACGCTAACGCAAATGCACGTTTATAATGACGATATAAAGAAGTGTCTAATGAAAAAAAAATGTAACCAAATCTAATTCTTAGCAGATAAATTACTGACATGAAGAAGTTGGAAAGGACGATGATAATGTATAAAATAAAAAAAAGAGTATAGAAACAGAATGCATACTATATTTATATATTATATCATATTATATTATTGTACGCGGAAATCATCAACAGCTAGTAGATTTGCATATGGTGGCATCAGCATCATCTTCCTCTTCATCCTCCTCCTCTCTAAACCTTCCCATGAAACCAGCATCGGCAGAGTTATCGAGGACATAATTGAAATTAGTGCGTGAGTGACATGGCGATGCTGATGACTGCATTGCTTTCGATGCACTCCTACTGCCAGTGCAATAGGAGCTGTCATTTTGTTTGAACGTCTGGCTGGCTGATAACATATTGGATGCAGGACTTGATCTGCCGACCTGCCTGCTACCGAAACTTCTCACCGACTGAGAGTGTGAAGATGGTCCGCCACCTGTTAAAATAGGGTTCGTTGAGTTAGTACCCTCGCTGCTGACGTTGAAATTGTAATTATGAATATTGTAATTGTTACTATAATTATTACTACTACCGGTGTAATTAACGCTATTATAATGGCGGTGATTAATAGAAGGAGAAGCAGCAGTATTAGATGATGATGACTTGAAACTTTCAGGAGTACCGATAGAACGATTGTATAGCTTGCCGTCGTAAGACCTCATCACAAAAGCACCCCCACCACCATTGCCATGGTGACGAAAATTGTTATCATCGACATCATCGCGACCACAAGCACCACTATTACTGAAAGAAGTTGCTGCAGCAGATGAGGAATTTGTTGGCAAGATAATTTTGTTCATCTTCAGTGGAGTATCATCAATGCTTCTGCTTTTGCCACCAAGAGTTTTGTTGTTGTAGTTTGCGAATGATGGTGACGACGACGATGACAATAATCGTGGACTGTTACTATTGTTGATGTTGCGCGTGATGTTATTAAAGTTATTAATGTTATTCTGCGGATAGCTAGGCTGGTGATGAGTGCTTTTGAAAAATTCTAATTTTCTGGCATGGTTGACTGCAAACGGCGACGAAGTCATGTAGGACTGTCTGTTTGTATTATTATTATTATGGGTGTTGTTGTTATTGTTGTTGTTGTTAATGACAGTATCGGTGGTATCACCAATACTGTATGAACGGTTGTTAGATGCTGGAAAGCAGTGATAGGTAGAAGAATGCTTGTTGAATGATGATGACGATGCTGATGGTGGTGGTGATTTAAATGACGATGACAAAGATGATGATGGAACTAAAGCTGCTGCTGCTGCTGAGTGCTGTTG